CTCATGTCATCAGCTGACCTGTTGGAATAGCCAAGAAAAGCTAGGAAAGTGGTGCATCTCATTTCAAATACAAGGCTTCTATGGCTCTGGCCTTTGCCACCTTAGCCAGCCCTCTCTTCCAAAATACTCACCCACCCAGGACATGCTGAACGACATCTTGCTATCTCTTGCTGTGCTTTTTCATATGCTGGTGTCTATGCCTCAAAAAACCTGTCTCTCATACTCAACAGCCAACTTCTGGATGACTGACCAACTCCTATTCCTACTTCAAGGCCCAACATAGAAAGCACTTCCCGAGAAGTCTTTCCAACCCACTGCAGCCTGTGCTCCATCATATCCCATACATGGGTATGTCATAGTACTCACCACATTTACGTTTTCCTCCCTCTCCGTCAAAACCAATCACCAATAAATCATGAGTGTTTTCAAGGGAAGGGCTATGGTTAGTCTACTCTGTCTCCCAGGATTCAGGAGAGTTCCTGGCCTGATGTTTCTTGAAGAACAATTGAATCTTTAGGATGAGCTCCTATAGACACAAGCCCTCTCTCGTAGGAGATTTAAACCACCTCTCTACCCAAATAGATTAACAGCTTGGATAATTTCTTGCTCCGTTCCATTGTGGAGAGTCTGAGTCTTAAACCAAGGGGCTCAAAACTGTGAAATTTGAACCTAAAACAGTAAAACCGCCTTTCACAAAGAGAACTTGAACTGTCACTCACATAACATGCTGCCTAGTTATTGTTCCATTATTATATGTTATGAAATGGAGCACTTACTGTGTATCCAAGCGGACACACACAAAAATACATATAAATGGATTAGCAATATAAATAATTTTTCCAAAGTCCTCCTGTTTTACCAATTCTAAACTCTGAGACCCTAAACAAACAATGCGTTTCTGTCTTCTCAAGCAAAAAAAAATTCTTCCTTGTGGTTGGGGAAGAGTCTAGGAAGAGAAACTTTGGGGAAAGCGGACCTGCTCCGATGTTTTATGGCTTTCCTTTACCCCTCCCACCTCTGGCTCCTGAAATGGCTGTGCTCTGATGGCTGCACGGTGCAGTCACCCTGAAGGTATGTGGTACACCAGTACGGGCCAGGAGAGACGGAGAGGTGCATGGATGCTCCCTGCTCCTCTTTTTTTCTGGTGAAACTTCAGAGGCTGATGCTCCACTTTGGAAACAGGATTTGGGTGTGGGCTATTCTGCAGGCTGCCTGATGGGGAGAGGATTCAAAGGGACAAGGCTTAATGCACCTGGGCTAGTGCCCCCAGGCCAAGGTTGGATGGGCTATTAGAGATGGTGGCGGACAATGGGGAGAAATCAGCCGCTATTAAGAATGAAAGAATCTTATCAGGTCACTCCTCAGCCTGAAATCCTTCAAAGCTTATTGGTGTTCTGGGTATAAAGTCCAAAATCCTTGCCACGGCCCTCAGGACCTCCCATGGCCTGACTGGCTACTTCTTCAGCCATGTCTAAGGCGCCTCTCCTTCTCTTTCATTGCTCCAGCCATACTGGCTTTTGCTAGTTCCTCAGTTTCACAGTTTCCTCAGACGTGACTGGCTCTCCTGCCTGAGGGGTTTTGTGCAAATGGTTCTTTCCATGTGGAACAGTTTTCTTCCCCAACCTTCACCCAGCCAACCCCAGCATGTTCTTCCTTGACCCCTCAGACATGGTTAGTGCCCCAGTTTTACAGCCTCTAGCACCCTTCACTTGCCCTTTCTCAAAACCCATCACCTTTTCAACAGCCTGTCCACTGTGTCCTCTTCACCAGACCATAAGCTTCTTGAGGGCAGGCACCAAGCCTTCTCATTCGTCCCAGGAACCACCATGCCTATCCCCTTGCTGGATGGACACCAGACTCTTGAGAAATATCTGTTTAGTGAATACTAGTCTCAAAGCTTTTAAAGATAATTCTCTGAGCCGACTGGGTGGTGCTACCAGACACATGACCCCAAATGGGCTCTTCCTGCTGTGTCTCCCAAATCCAGCTGGGAAGCAGGAGGTGTAAAGGGCAGGCATTAGAGATGGGGATTCTGGGTGAGGAATCTCAGCCAGGGAGCCCTGCCAGGACTCTCACTGTGAAATAGGAACATTTTCAAGGGAAGTGACCCTCTGCTGGAACTCCTCAGCTCCAAGGTGGTCATTAACTTTTTGAATTGTTATGTGGGGTGAATAATTCGCCTGTGGAAAAATTTAGCACTGACAGTAGCACTCCTTTTGTCATTAAAAACCTGAAATCCTGACTAATCACAGCTGGACTCAGTCCAGACTGCGCCATTTCCCTAATGTTAAATATAACCCACAGTCACACCAGCAAAGCCACCCCTTAACAAAGAAGGGACCTTAACACTGTCAAGAAAGGACCCATGGGAACCTGAGGAATCTAGAACACCAACAATGATGACCTGGGAAATAATTTGGCTTGAATTAAATTATTAAATATTAGTACGTTATTATTTAATGTCATCAAATTAACCCTCTATATCTGGATAGGTTTAGCCTTCCTGGTGTGTCATTTGGTCAATCTTCTGTAAATCGCTGAGTCACCCGTTGAGTTACCATTTGAGTGCCTACTACATACCACCCTAATGGCCAGTAGTCAAAGTGAAATTACTGTTTTCTATCCACAAAGATCTTATTGTCTATTCAGAGAAACAGACATGGGAAAAATAAGTGAAGCAAAGTGCTAGAGGAATAACAAAACATCTATGACTTTCAAATTCCAAATGATGCATCCGGCCCCTGCAGACAGGCCCACGCTGAAGAATCAGTGCAGCCTAGAAAGCACGAGTTTTTTTTTTTACACCCCTGGCATCTACTATCTGCTCAGGGGTTCTCGGTTTCCCACATAGCCTCCTATTTCCATGCTGTGTAGGACTGTCTTCTTCTCCAAAGGAGCCAAAGGGTAATAACTCTACTAATTACAGCAAAGTATGTGACTTTTAATTCTAACTGCCTTACCTAGAAACTCAATAATCTTAGAACTCTGAATTCTTAGCAAATTATCGAACACTGTTTAAAGATATGGTTGGCATGACACCATTTCATGTTGATTCTCTGCTCAAAGACTATAATCTTCGTGCTTGTGTTCAATGACTCTATACATAAAATTTCAACATGATCTCTTTAACATGAGGCATTTAGATTTAGTTTATCTAAAATTAAATTCCAGCTACATAATGATACTTTAATGATAAATTAATGAGATAGTTGCTTATTTACATGATTCCATCCATATGACACAATGCCTGGGGCAGGGATAGGCACGTGGTGTGGAGGGAATCATGGGATAGTGCGGCATCCACTGGAAAGAAATGCCTTTTTTTTTTTTTTTCTTTGCTCAGCGTGAGCCTGGGAATATGCAGGTCTACCTTTTGCTGTTAGCAGCAGTCCTGCCACCAAACACAGTCCAACATCAAAGACAACTTGAAGAAAAGAGAGCTGAATTCTAATGTCAGTTTAAGCACCAGTATCAACCCCTACCTGAGGCCACTCTATACCTGGCCTTGTATGGAAGTGAGCCCCAAATTCTTTTTGTGTGTGAGGAAGATCAGCCATGTGCTAACATCTGCCAATCCTCCTCTTTTTTTGCTGAGGAAGATTGGCCCTGGGCTAACATCCGTGTCCATCTTCTTCCACTTTATATGGGACGCCACCACAGCATGCTTGCCAAGCAGTGTGTCGGAACACACCCGGGGTCTGAACCGGCGAACACTGGGCCGCCGCAGTGGAGCGCGCGCACTTAACCGCTTGCGCCACCGGGCTGGCCCCCCCAAATTCTTTTTTATGTTCAAGTCTGTGAGCTAGGTTGGCTGTGACCTGTAAACCAAAGAGACCTAACTGATTCATTCTCACAAAAGGAACAAGGCAGGAAGGAAGCTGCACACAAGACAAGTATAAGTCACTCTGTATTTATTCGGCGGCATTCAACACACTTTGCCTCGCAGAGAGAAAACACACGGTCTGAGGAATCCCATTGTCATAAATCCCCTGCTTCTAGCTTTACATCCTGAATTTCTATGCCCATTAATCAAGGTTCAATACCTTCACACACAGTGATTAAAATTTTTCCCTGAGATCATCAAAGCTATGGCTTTGGCCACAGAATATCTTGAATGGCCAAAATTCAGGAGAAAACATAGGAAACTAGAAGTCTTTTGGTGGTGGAAGAGGTAGACGACTTAGGTAGAATTCCTGAGAAAAAGGTGCAGAGTCAACCAGGCCACTAATTAATATTTCCCTGGCTGGGAACTATTGTCCCTCCAACATCTGCACACATTCTAGAAGGCAAATTCATCTTCTTGCATATAAAGACACTTTATCACAATGCTGTGCTCAAAGCATTTCACTTTGGATAACTGCCAGAACCATCTGGATGCCTCAGTTTCCAGGAAAATGCAGAGCTAGTGGTGTAGGGACAGCCTTTCCCCAGTGTCATACGGGAAAAAGAAAAACCCAGAAGTGGATGATGAGGAAAAATGGTGATCACATTATGAGCTCTGTCAGGCCCCCAATGTTTTTCAAAATGGTTTGATATCAAAACAGCTAGTGAGCCTCCAGGAGGAGGAATGGGGAGAGACTAACTGCATTATCACCTAGAATCCCAGCCACATCAAGTCCCCAACGCCCAAGGCAAATGGACATCAGCTCGTGTCCTCCAGTCAGTGCGCTAAGAGGCAACCCTGAGGGGAGGGCAGCGTCCAGCAGCCCCTCCTGGGGGCAGGAAATCACAGCCTGGGAGGAGGCAGCTTGCGGGGCTGGGTCATTGTCACCTTCTGTTGTCGTTCCTCCTCCCCCCTATCCCCCCAACATGGCACAATGGAACAACTGTTCCCTGTTGAGGACTTCCCTTTGCAAACATAACAAGCAGAGGCTTCCCTGATCTGACCCATATTCACAGTGGAAGAAGGCCGCGGTCCGCGTGGGGAGAGGGGATAGGAAGCAGCGGGGCGAGCCGGGCGTCAGGCAGACACGCGCAGGGACGCCGTGCTGGGGAGGGACAGGCGGAAGGGCAGAGAAGGCTGAGCATCCACGGGCTGTGGCGCTTCCGGAGACACCATTCCCTGGACACGAGGTGCCCAATCCTCTTTCTTAGGTTCTCCTGGGGTAGTTCTGACAGGCTTTCACCAGCTCTTTCAAGAATTCAGGAACCCCTTTCTGCAAAGCAAAAGAGACTGTCACTTCTCTGTCCTCACAGCAATCACTCCTGGTTCTTGGGGATGTGGCAAAACGTAAATAGAGATGGCTTTGGGAATAACAAAGACAACAGGGCCTCTGACTAGATTCCAACAGAACGTTGCCACAGATATGGACAAAAGGTAAGAGCCAGGATGTGGGGGAGACTACACGACAGGGGCCACGGTTACAAGATGCTGCCTTATATTTTGGCTTTTGCTAGTGAAAAGTTACAATATTTCTGAGACATCATTTCTTGAAAAAAACAACTGAAACACAGGGGATGGGGTTGGGATGGGTTGTTTGAGTCTTCCAAAGAAATGAGAGAAAGGACTTGCTTTACAGGATTCGAAACAGTAAAGATTTGGGGATGAGAGGGGATATGTTATTATTTAGTTAGTGTTGAGCACTGTGCAAGACTGCCCCCAAACACCACCTTCATTACTCCTACTCCACAGGGTAGGTAACATCCACCTCCATTTTTAAAAAGGAAAAGATGGATGGCGTCCCTAGGTTACAGAGACAGGCAGTGGCAGGTCCAGGATTCAAAATCACATGTGTTTGACTCAAAGCTTATGTGATTTTTCTCCCCCAGTGAAGCTGTTGAGTCCTCCAGCCAGTAAGTAGGACGCACACAAAGCAGGCTGAATGGGCCCCATGAAGCCAGGCTCCAGGCGGTCTCTAGTGATCTGGGCAACACCTGCAGTTCCCTCTCCTTCCAGAAAAACAAAACAACAATAACAAAACTGGAGGCGCCCCCAGGCTTGGCCACGTCTCGTTGTCTCCCGACCCAGATCGGCCTGTCTTACTCCTCCATAAGCCGATACAGGATCCAAAGGTACCACTGTTCCTACAAGGAGCAGGCTATTGTCTGGAGTCCAGAGAGCAATCCTGGCGGGGTCTCGGGGCACCAGCAGGGAGGGGCCGGCATTCCAGCTAAGGACTCTTTGTCTTTTGTCCCAGCCTCCGTCCTGGGAGTTGACAACCCCCATCCTACCCATAGTCACTCAACCAAGCTGCTTCATAAAAGAGCCTCATTAGGCCTGAGACAGCCCCACGGGCTATGTCAACATTTGTCAAACACGCTTCCCCCTCCTGCCTCCTGGGATCTCACCTTGGCAGCCCAGTTAATGAGCCGGGTCGGAATTTGGCCACCAGGGTTATCGAAGTAATACATGAAAACTAAAGAAGAGAAGAAACGACAATTCAGAAGGAGTATAGTGGTGAGAAAGATACAGCAACAAACCCAGAGAACCTTCCACCTTCATATTCATGCCCAGAAAGTAAGGAGGGAGGTAACACGTGATTCAGGCATGTTCCCTCCTCTGCCTTGACTTATGAGATATTTATATATAAACATTTTGAAAACACACCCACAGGCACATCTACTTGCTATTTATTAAACATCTGGCAAGTGCTAGACACGTGGAGCTAGTCTCTCATTTAATTATTTCTCTCATTACCTATCCTAACAATCCTAAGGAATTGGTAAAATTCCAATTATAATTCCAGTATATAAATGATAAAGTGGAGGCTCAGAAAAGTTTGGTGACACGTCCAAGATGACAGATCTAAGAAGCCTCAGAACTCCGGTTCAGATTTTGCCTCAGACGCAAGGCCACACTCGTTCCAGCAGAGGAGGTGGCTGCAGGCCGCACTCTCCACCCACAGCTTTCCTCCCCGTGGCTGGAGCTCAGGGCAGCCAGGTCCTGAGTGTCTGGGTTTCTGCTGAGTGGGAGCTGCGTCCTCAGAGACAGTCCCGCCAGCCGTCTTGCCCACCCCCAGGACTGGCGGATGTGTCCACAGGACAGCCTGCTGTGAATTCCTAAACCTGCTGGTTTACTAGGCTGCTCTGATTTCACCTGGACAATGCAAGAGTCAGCCAAGAATGCAGAGTCAGAGTTAGACAGCCACCTTCCACTGCACCCACTCTCTGGGGTGACCTGAGTCTCTCCCCAGCTGTGGATGTGGATCCCTTGTCTGTTTTGCACCCATGCCATTCTCTGACCTCAGAGAACAAACTTCACACACTTTACGTGCCTCGCAATCAGTACGGCCCTCACCCCCGTTACCCTGACCGGGCCCGAACCTGGCCCTATCTTTACCTTTGCTCCCGTTCCCGCCATCGCTCATGAGCACCAGTTTCTGTGTGTACTGCGTCACCCGAATCACACTGGACCTCTCGGGAAACTCTGGATGGGAGGTGCTCTGAGCCAGGACTACGTAGATGTCCCGCCCTTCCACGTCCAGCTCTCGCCTCTCCCGAATGTAGACGTACTGCACTGCCAGTCAAGGCATAACACCAATGCCAGCATTTCAGACCGGCAGAGGGAAAGCTCCAGAAGCTGGAAGACAAGGGAGGTGATTCTGTTCCTCCCACATGATTGCTTCCTTGTATTGCTGCTTCACTTACCTGCCCCGTCTCCCTACCTGCACTGCAAGACTGTGCCTCCTCCCACCTGGCATTCTCATCTGAGAGCACGCATCACCACCTGAGAATGATTCCTTGATGCTGTGAAGCTTTTAATTAGGCAGGGAAACCACTCCTTGTGTCTCCAAGAAGGCACTATGAGATATCAGAGGATGGTCACTTATCTGCTGTGAGATCCTGGGTTAGTTACTCCACCTTTCTTCTGAGGCTCAGTTTCCCTACGCAGGAAAACAGGGCAACACGGCCCAGCAGGCAGGCTTGGTGAGGGCAATAGGGAAACTCTGGAGCAGAATAGGCAGTCGATAAACAATAGGGTCATGTCTCCTTGTCCTGCCCTCCCCCAAAACTCTAACTACTGCCCTCTATGCACAGAGGATGGTCAAGCAACATTACCCACACCTGGTGATCACAGGAAGATACACAAGCACCTGAATATTTAGAGGCAGAAGTCCTCTCTGGGTTAACACTGGTTCACCAAGAATAACCAAGCCATTTCATCCCAATAAACACTCACAGAACCACCACTGTACCTATGGCCCTATTCTAGGGGAGACAATTAAATCTGAAGAAACAATAAGAGTTGCCACTTACTGAGCCCTTACCATGTAATAAACATCATGTGCTTTACACAGAGCATCAATTTTGATCCTGAGAAAGTCCCTGTGAGTTTGGTATAAGTGTCTCCATCTTCCAGATGACAAAATTGAGGCTCAGAGAGGTTAAGAAACTTGTCAAAGATCCCACAGCCCAGCTGAAGGGATGGAACCTGAATCTGAACCCAGATCTGGCTCCAAAACCTAGCTAGACTTTCATAGCTGGACAGGGCTAACTCTTTAATGTGTTCATCATACTTTCGAGTGATAGAATTTTAGCTTTCACACCAGGAGGAATTAGCCTAAATCAATAAAAAAAAATCACTCTAAATATAACACAATTACACCCACTATAACAGCAAGAACCACAGCCCCATGCCACTCAGAGTCTCGACAGCCCCCACAGTTGTCCCACCCCTCATTCAGGCTCCCTGTAGGATGGGCTATTGGCTCCACTCTCTATAAGCCTCTCTCCCAAGCCTCTTACATTTTCCCCACAGCAAATATTGTCCCACTCTCTCCCACAACACATTGCTCAGCTCACGTGATAGACACCACCCGACTCTCCATTGAGGACAAATTAACTTGATATGTTGGTTAAATTTGGCACAGGTCTTTTTGAAGGGTTGGAAGGTCCAGTGTGCCATAAAGCCTATAACTGGAGAACCACCAGTTCACTGAGGCCGAGAAGTGAAGGGCCTTTTCCAAGGTCACACAGCAAACCAGGGAAGGAGTTCACACTCAACCTGGGATCTCTTATTCCAAAACTAGTGTTTCTTTCCACTGCGCTATTCTCTGTTCTCAAAAACTTAACAACCCTTATTGGATAGACATATGTGCATACATAAAGACTAAGAAACTCATTACGAAATTGTGTGGCAAAGGAAAGCCAATGAAATAGAACTTCAAGGAGCCCCAAGGGTCCACTCTTGAGAATATCTACCCAGCAATGTCACTGTGAGGTCAGAGTGGTGGGATCGTGCCCTGGTCAAGATCACCATCTCTGGATACAGATGGACCTGGGTCCTGAACCTGCCTCTGTGTGAACCTGAGCAAAGTTCTGAACGTCTCCTTGCTTCAATTTCCTTAACTGTGATATGAGGATGATGATGCCTACCTTGCAAGTTGTTGGCAGGATTAGAGAAAACCACATAAAAACTAAGGGATCAGTAATCCACAATTTTTTGAAATATATAACATTTGTATACCAACTAACTAGTAGTATGTGGGAATTGTGCCAAGAAATAAACTAGTATGGAGTTTATAATCTAGTTGGGGCCAGGGTAGACACATATATTTAGACACAAAAAACATATACACAAAACACACCCACAGGTTCCCTCTCTTTCTAGAGAAGAATTACTTAGGAACACACAGAATTATAGAATGTTAGAGCTAGGAAAGATCCCCGCAATCATCTAATTCAGGGGTTTCCAAACATTTTCTTTACTCCACAAGATCCTTTATTAAAAGGATCTTACATGGAAATTCAGGCTGTAAGACACTCAGCCGCTGTGATGGAAGAGGACAGTGAGGAGTGGAAACCTTGCCTGTCACTCATCCTCCCCCACCCTGCCCACCCAGCAGATGTCCACCCCGCCCTCCCAGCCTAGTCCTGAGCAGGCTTCCTAGAACCTTGAGTGCCAGCGAAAACTCCCCACATCCCAGTCAACTGCTTCATCTCATAAATGAGGAAACTGAGGGGAAGAAACACGCCCAGTGTCCAGAGCCAAGAGTCAAGGAGGGATCGCTGTGGGGTCAGTGAAACGGGAGAGGAGACGGGAGAGCTGGGAATGTGGGGGCCTGAGTTCCCCACTCGGTCACTAACCACCCATATGTATGCCTCTGTCACTTCACCTCTCCAGGTCCCCACTTCCTCCTCTGTAGATTGAGGAGTGTATTAAACATTCCTTATAAAGAATTCTCTCCAGGTCCCCAAGTCTGTGGCCCTACAGTTTCAAGCCCTAGGAAACTCCTCAGGAAAGTATGAGCTGCCCTCCAGTGACCACAGTTACAGGACGCTCCACGTGGTCAGCCCCAGAAATCACACTCTGAGGTCTCTGAGAGCCAGAGAAGAAGCAACAGCTCCAGAACATGCTTCTGCAAGAATCAGAGACAATGTCCACACCTGCTGGACCTGCCACCATGGGGCAATGGGCCAAGGGCACAGAAACACTTAGAAAGCCAAGTAATGGTGAACTTGGGAAAGGATACATCTCTGTTGGACATGAAAGTAGGGTACCTCACTTGCCAGTAGACCACCGTCTGTCCATTGCGTTCTCTTTCATAGAGTTCTGAGGAGAACAAAAGAAGTTAATGTATCTGGAAGCCTCTTTGGCTTCAATTAATAAGGAGCCTAGGGATGATGACCTCATGGGGTATGATAAACCACTAACTCATGAGGCACAAAATTCTAGAAAAAGTCAGACAAATTCATTACCACTGAAAGCTTGTTGCCCAAAGGCAGAGTCTAGTAGATATAAAAATACAGTAAAAATAAAAGAACCCAACAAAATTTGTCCATCCTATATCACAAACAAGATTTCAGACAGAATGCAGTGAAACAAAATCAGGGATCCAAAAATAAATTTGCAGGTTTTAAATCAGAGTAACCACCAGATGTCACTAGAGCACCAATAGTTTTGCTTTTGAGCCATTTCTTCCTTCATTTTTCCTGACATATTACAGCTAGCCTGCATGTGAGTCACCCAGAAGTGTGTTCAGCTGAGATCAAGGTCCCACAGAGGGCAGTGTCCTTCCTAAACAGCTAGAAAGTGGCATAACTGTGGCTTACCCTAAGATTCTTGCTTCCCTCCCAGGTTTCTTTAACTATACCACAGCTCCAGTGACCAAATTTCCTTAATATTCCATCATGCTATTGTGTGCAAATAGCAGCCAACTCTTGGAGGGAGACAGCAAAGGAATTCAGTGACATGCTCACCCTCTGACTCCAAGTTGAGCAGTAAGCTTCTAACTAAGCATTCTAGATGGAGCCAAGCCAAGGCTGCTGAAGTAACCAAGAGAGTCCCCTGAGGAGATGCTGATGGGGAAATGTATGACTTAATTCAGCTTTTGAAAGAAAATCCATTAGAAGCAGACCATGGATGAAAGAGCTTGCCAGCCCATTGGTGCCACAAGAGGCTGGAGACAGCCCTTGAAAGGAAGGAAAGGAGTGGACATCTGTTGCTTTTGCATTCTCAGTATTGACTCTCCCCTTCTTGGGCCAGCATCTTACTTATCCTTCAGGGCATCAACCTGCCCCTCCTTCTCAACTATGTGGTTTAAGCAGGACTAACTCAACTTTAGTTTCAGGGCTCGGAAAATGAGCAAGTCATGACCATGGTGACTAGTTCAGGGATGGTGCATCTGGCCAGGGTCTTAGCTTGCCACTCTACAAAGTTTAGGACAAAAAAGTGGCTTAGCAAAGGCTCTCAGGTAGCTCAAAGAATATCTAGGAGGACCAGAGTTAGGTTTAGAACCTCTGGATTGTTCCAGAGAAGCCAAATGGCTGCTGCTACTGGACCAGACACCATAGCATGAAGTGCTGATGCTGAGTATCAAACGTCAGAGGCTCTGCAGCTGTTTCCCCCAAAGTCAGATACCCTAGTCGTGACCGTCACCGGAAAATAGATTTTTGCATGTTGCCCGCTTCCTCATGTTGCTTTCTCCCAAACTGAAGCCACATATGCGTCTTATTGTCAATGTCTATATCACAAGACTGAACCCTGGCTGCTAGGGAGACTGGGACAGAGAATGTCTGGCTTTGCCCTTGAATAGATAAGTATCACAATTCCCCCTAGATAGGAAGGGAATTTGAAACACTAAGTCACCCAGAACCATGACAAACGTCCACAGGAAATAAGCACGTGATCCATGCTGAGGCGCTGAGAGCCAATCCTGGACTCTGGCTGCCAGTGATACAAAAGTGGAATTCTCATTCCTGTTCCTCTGGGGTTATTTCTATGGTTAGAATATAAGCTTGGATCTTCTGCTGGCCATCTCTGCCATGACCTGAGAAACTGCCTGAGAATTAGGTCATCACAGGAGAAAAAGAGTCGAGATGGAGAAATTATTTAAGTATTAGATGCAGCTGTTCTGGAGGCCAGAAACCCATGGACTTTTCAAAGTCATGGACCAAGAAACTCTTTTTCCTTTTCTTACACTGCCATTTGTTGGCTTTCTGTTACTTGCAACCAAGAGTCCTGACTACAGCAAGGGTCTATCAGAGTTAATGTGCCCCTGGGCTGGCTCGGTAGTTCTCCTCCACCATGACTGAAATGGCAGAGGCCACGCCCAGCTCTAAGTGGCTCGGGGATTCCCTACTTAATGCCTCTCATAATGCTCCACCACTTAGAGGGTAAAATCTAAGAACTGTAGCCTGGTGGCCAGGCCAGGCCCTTGGGGATCCTCCCACCCTAGCTCAGAGTCTGCCACCCCAGCAACCCAACACCACCAACCTGCTCTCAGTGTCTGCACATCTCATGCTGTTTCATGCCTTCCCCACCTTACTCATGTTGTTCCTGGGCCTCGAATGCCTTTACACCACTCATCCCCTCACCCTCTCACCTCCCCACATATATGTATTGTTGTTGTTTATAAAACTTTATTTCATAAACATTGCTTATAAACTCTTATGTTTTAAAATATTTTAGTAGTTTAAACTATTATGTTTTATAAGCTTTTATAAAACATAGCTTGGACACCACCTCCTGCGAGAAGCCTTCCATGATGACCTAGGTATAGGGAATGACAACTAACTTACAGAGAGAACAAAGTAGCCCTCAGAGCAAACTGGACAGTGGATCTAAGAGCATGCAAAGAGCAAGTCCTAGAATAGCAAAGGCACATGTCAGCCCAGCACCTAAGACTTTTAGGCCAAAATGAAAAATGAAACATAATATAGTAGAAATTAAACCTGTTGCTTTCTACTGGCTAGAATAAGTAACAATAGATTCTACTTTCTAATTCATTTTTAAAAAATAAGTAGGTGTCACTCACCTTCAACATTTTGGTCCCACTCTTTTCTGTAGTCTAGGTCCATACAGACATCTGCGAGTAGCGCCGGCGGGCAGTCCTTCAGAACACCAAAGCCTTTATACTTATAAAGTCCAGTCTCCTGTGAAAACAGGACAGGCAGAAACAACCTAGTGATGCCCAAGTTGAGAGACAGCTGGCTGACACAGCACAGGAAAAACAGCTGTTCATGCAACACCATTTATTGGGAGCCTCCTCTGTGGTCTCGGTGACGCAATGGTGAGAAAACAGATGGGGCCCCTGCTCTCATGGGTCTTATATTTGGCTGTAGGCTTTGGGGGGTGGTGATAGCTATAAACACTGTCCAGGTAATTTGAATAGGCTATAAGAAGGGTTGTGTCATAAATGGTGCCTGGTTTGGTGGGGGATGGGGGGGGTGTCCTAAACAATCAGGTGGTCAGGAAAGGCCTGTATGAGGGATAGCATTCAGCAGACCAGGGGCCGGCCCGGTGGCGCAAGCGGTTCAGTGCGCATGCTCCGCTGTGGCGGCCCGGGTTTCGCGGGTTCGGATCCCGGGCGCGCACTGATGCACCGCTTGGCAAGCCATGCTGTGGTGGCGTCCCATATAGAGTGGAGGAAGATGGGCATGGATGTTAGCCCAGGGCCAGTCTTCCTCAGCAAAAAATGAGGAGGATTGGCAGATGTTAGCACACGGCTGATCTTCCTCACAAAAAAAAAAAAAAAAAATCATCAGACCATCTTGTTCTAAATATTAGAAGGAGCCAGCCATGGAAGATGAGTAAAGAACACTCCTGGTAGGAGGGAGGCCCTCAGGATGATGGATTGGAATGCTCAAAGAATAGGAAGTCAGGGGTCTGGAGAACTGGATGAGGGAGAGTGGTAGGAGCCAAGGTCAGAAGGGTAGTGGAGGCCAGGCCCCAGAGGGTTTTGGGAACTAGGCGAAGGGGTAAATTTTTTTTTCTATCTGCTATGGAAAACTAATAAAAGACTTTAAACGGGATGACTTTAAATAGGAGAATGACTTGAAAAAGATGATTCTTGCTGCTTGGTAGAAAATAGATCATAATGGAGCAAGGAGATGGTTTAGAAGACCAGTCCAGATAAGAGATGATGGTGATTTGAACACAGAGGTGACAATAGTGACAGAGAGAAGTCAGTGATTTAGGGACATATTTTGGAAGAAATGTCAACAGGAATTACTGACAGATGGGCTGTGGGGAAAGAGAAAGCAAAGAAATGAGGATGACTCTTAGAACCTTTGCTTGAACAAGCTGTAGATGGGAGCTCCCTTTTCTAAGAGAGAGAAAACTTGGGGAGAGGTGGTTTGTGGGGTGTAGGGTAATCAGGAGTTCTACTCTGGGCAAGTGGAGATTGAGACGCTCACTGCGCATCCAAGTGGGGGTGGCATACAGGCAGCTGGCAGTCAGGGGACAGGTAACTATTCTGGTTATCCCCAGGGCATAATGGAACCCAACACATTGTTGTATCCATTCCAAGATGGAATTTTTCAATAGCTGCCTCTTTTTTATATAACAGACTTGTGTATAAAAGAATGAAAAGGGGAACAAACACCAGCTTCAAATCATATTAGTCCTTTTTATGCATAAAAAGACCATTTCTAGATTCCCAAGTACAACAAGAGATTCCCCTTGTTTCCACGTTAAGCCTCATCCTGGTCTGTGTGGGCTCTGGGCTGGAGCTGCCACACTACACATCTCACTCTGGTCAAGGGCAACTAACAATTCCTGATGTCACCTTGCCTAAAGGCTCTATTGTTAGGATGAAACCAGGGGCTCTTAGATCAATTTCAATGCAAAAGCAAACAAACAAACAAACAAAAATGAAGCTTTTAGATGGACTCATACTTCCATGCGCTAATGTAAGTTACTGGCTAATTGGACATGAATCGGGCCACCTTCTTACACATCATGCCAGGGACTTATGTGAAGTCAGGGAGTAAACATGGTGAATCTTTCTAGAGATTCTGAGACTTCAAGGGTCTCCTGGCTCAGGTGGCGTAACCCAGGGATTAATAATACTGCCCAGGGTAGGAATTTCAGATGTATGTGAAAGTACCTGGCAAGAAATAAGGTAAAATTGAAATTGAATTCATAAGGATTTTCCAGCTGTAAAAGTATTCCACTTTATTCGCAGGGTTTCCAACCATCAAATGACAAACTAGTAGATCTAAACTTCTTAAGTGCTGTGCCATGGATGCCCCAATGGAAGTGCAGACCTCCAGACAAACAACAGCTTTCAAAACATCAGCATTTTAATCAGCTTTGAAAGAGATACAATTAGCTCTTTGTTCACGAATATTGTGGCTCCATTTTCTACACATACTGAGTTAAAGAGATAATTACTTGTCTAGATAATTATCTCCCCAACCTTACATGAGTTAGCTCCGGTTATCTGGATAAATTAAGGCAAACTCTTTGCTTAAACTGGTTCCCTTCCCCTCCTGAATGTAGTTACAGCCCTTAGTGACCTCAGTCCTACACACATCACAGAAAAGAAAAACAGAAAGCCCGCTAGGAAGAGAAAAATAGAACGATGTGATTTACGTGAATACAGAAGAATGAACTATTGTCACAACTTCCTTTCAATACTCCCTTCGAGGCAGAACTGAGAAAGGCCTGAACTCCAGAGGAACAAAATGCGCGGTAACACCTTTCCTAGTCTCTCAATAGAATGTTCCTTTCAAGGGCTAAACAGCCCCACCCAAATTCTTGGATCAAAGCACCTTTTCATCCATTATTTCTTTTAAAAAAGGATCTCAGCAAATATAATCACATTTTTATTTTGTCTTTTAAAAAATAAAGTGAATTTTTTATAATTATAAAAATCATTCATATTCATTATAGCAAAATTGGAAAAATGCCAAAAAGAATAAAGAAAATACCAATGGCATGTAACCTCATAATCCACAAATACCTATTGGTAATCTTTGACATAGTTCTTTCAAGTAAATAAACACTTTTATATGTTACAAAATGGGAATAACATGGAATAAACAGCTTATATTCTTATTTTTAACGATATTATACTGAGGCTATGGAGAGATCACATCTAATTTAATGATTCTCATAAGTTATTTCTGTTTCCAAATATTTTTACACATATAAATATTGCTGGAATAATCTACTATTTCATATGGACCAACTTGGTCCATAATTCTAATTATTTCATTAGGAAAGCTTCCTTAGAGATAAATTTCAGAGTAAAGGGTATTAACATTTTAAGGTTCATTATACTTTTGATAAACCTTTAAGAAAGTTTGTACCAATTTATACTCTCGCCAGTACTGAAGGAACATCTCATCAGGATTGGGCACCATGTTTGTATAAACAATTTGATATTTTTCCTATCAAAAATTTTAGCTTGATTTGGGCCAAGTTTTTATTATTGATGTGTACGATCTCTTTAAAATCAAAGATATTAACTCTCTGCAACATCTGTTGCAGATATGTTCCTAAGGTTATTAACATTTCCATAAATGACTCCCAATAAATTTACTCAAGAGGTTCTTGGCTTTTCCTGAAGCTCCTCCAGAAAACTACTTCCAAGAATAGCCCCATTTCTTTTTGTAGAGTAAAACATGCTGCATACTTTCCTTGTGGTTTTTTTTTTTTTTGAGGAAGACTGGTTCTGTGCTAACATCTGTTGCAAATCTTTCTCTTTTTCTTTTTTCTCCTCAAAGCCCCAGTACATAGTTGTGTATCATATTTGCACAGCTGTAGCTCTTCTATATGGGATGCCGCCTCAGCATGGCTTAATGAGCTGTGAGTAGGTCCGCGCCCAGGATCTGAACTGGTGAATCCAGGGCCACCGAAGCAGAATGCGGGAACTTAACCACTATGCCACTGAGTTGGCCCCAATGCATACTTTTCTAATGCTCCATTTGTAGGACATTTCATTTCCTACACATCAGAGAGTAAAAGAATTATTTGATGGCAGAGAATCAGTCAATATCTTGTGTAGAATACAATTACCAGAAGAAATAGAAGATTTAGTATAGCATATACTCCCTTCTTTCTTGCTAAGAGAACCTCTATGGCAATGTGCACAGTTACTAACTTTCCTGGTCTCCTATGCAGGCAGAGATAGCCATATGACATCTCCTTCCAGTTTTGAATATGGATGTTTGGAGCTGCAGCAGCTATTTGGGGATGAAGAGGTAACAAACATGGGAAGGCAGAGAAAAAAGTCTCAAAGGGTTTTATTGGCATCATCGATCAGCTAAACCAACACCAGCAACTGTTGATCTCTGAACTACTTCTTAGGTCAGAAAAATAAACCTCTTTTGGTTGAGTCATTGTTAGTCCAGTGTTCTGTTACTTGCAGCTAAAAGCACTCTTAACTGATACAACTGATCCTTCCTGACAATAAATTTTACTTGAGTCCTGTGATCCAGGAAAACAGTGAAGGTTCTTTAGAAATCCCCCTACCCTTTGTGTTCCAGAAAAGAATTTATTGCCAAGACCACCATTCCCCACATGACTTAGATAAGACTCACAGAGGCCCCTCTTGTTTACCTATGACAAGGCCAGACACAGAAACCCTAAATTCCCTTTTGTGGCATCATAAATGATTAGCTGAACTGCTTATCCCCACCGATCAGTCAGACCAATATGTTTGTTAACCAAACTGCTTAAACTTCTCTCCTTTTTCTAGGCCCCTAAACTGTAGCCCACCCTCAGCCTGAGCCAGCACATAGCCCCTCCTGACAACAGATTGGCATCAGGTACAATATTCTCTGATCTACTCTCCAGTCAAGCCCCCTTCATCCCACTCTCCCACACATGGTTTCTAGCCTTGTTTATTACTCTCTGTAAAAGAAAAACTCTTTTTTCCTAATTCTTGAGACACTCACAAATCTTATGGTCAAAGTGTTCTTCCTATAATAATTCCTCCCCCGACTTTGCAATAATCTTTTTGAATAGAAGTCCCACCTTACTAAGTCCAGATTTGTTTTTTCCCACCCTGGGGAAGATTCACCTTGAGCTAACATCTGTTGAGAATATTCCTCTCTCTCTTTTTTTTTCCTCCCCAAAGCTCCAGTACCTATTTGTATATTCTAGTTGTAAGTCCTTCTAGTTCTTCTATTTGAGCCACTGCCAC